CCTAATCAGTATACAACATCCGCCATTCCTATTATCTCTTGCATAAAATGAAGCTAATTTATATGACGGAACATTTAAGAATTCTGAATCAGTATACTTCATGTTGTGTTCCGTTATACATAATACATCTATAGATATATTATTTTGTAATAAATCATTTAGGGTAACAGTTAATAAGTCAGCTTTACTTATGAGTCCATTTATGTTTTGATGAAGCAAAGTTATACTATTGTACAAGAAAAAACTGATTATTATCATTATTTACAATATCGGAAGATGTACTTATGTTAAAAAGAATCTAAGTTGTTATTTTTAGAAATAATACATTCTTCGGTTTGCGTAGATTTATCGAATAATTTGTAAGAATTAATACAATTATATGAAATTACACGATTGTTTGTTATGTTGTATGCGTTAATTTTTATTTGATATTCATTGCGTAATTCATTGCGTCTCTTTTACCAACGACCGGCAAACAAAAGTAGAAAAAATGACCATTTTATAAAACGATCAAAACCCATCTCTTCCAATGTACAATTTTTATGACGATTACAAATATATCTCAGTTCTTAATTAAATTTTTTTTTCATTTAAAAGTTTGTCATATGGAATTTCATACATTTGTATTTGATAAACAATTCAAATAAACTTCTATATTACACTTAAATTCAAATGGATTTTCGTCATTAATTCCCCCCATAATTATGACGTAATCTTTACTTGTGAGTGACAATTTCTGTTTAAATGAGGATAATAGATCATACATTTTCGCACCCGGTTTCCATAGACAAGTGACTAAAAATTCATCTCCGATAAGGTTTTGAAGGCAGTGACGAACTCCTCGACCCTGTTGATCTGCGATGATAAATATTTTTCTTTTAGTGCTGTATGTTGGAATCATGGAACTTATTCCATTCTTTACTATTATAAGCTATTGCATAGCTTCTATCGCGGGCCTTGAGCGCGGGGACCGAATCCAGAAATTCCGTAACGAAAAAACCTCACGCTCCCCACTCCGACGGGCACGGAGGTGTGGCGCTGGCGTTGAAAGCCGTGCATCGTCTAACGTCGTTTCAGTTCGGCAGACTTCGGCCCCCGGCAGAGTTCGGCACGGTGTTTGTGTGCGTGCGACTAGACGTATGCGTGTACACTAGCTGCTAACTCAATGATAAAAATTCTTGAATAACCTACATGTATTGTAAGATATTAAAAATATTTTAAGCAATATTAACTTCTCATTTATTCAATAATAGAAAAAAAAATTGTTTTCTTATCGGTCACCACGCTCAAAAAGTGTAACTTGATTTAATATCAAAGACTTAACTGCATAAATAAAATAAATAAATAATTATAATTGCATAAGTTGATTAAAATGCTATGCAATAGCTTTACCGCGGCAGTCACCGAGTGCCACACGTATTTTTTTTTGTTTGAAATTGCGAAGGCGTCAGATCTGTGGTGCACGTGGAATGATTCTCGGTGTACTCTTTGGCTTCATTTTCTGTTGTGGAGCATATTACATTAGCCTGTAGTTTTTTTTTATATTTTGATTTAATTTTTCTATTTGTCTGTTAGCTTCTTCCAATTCTTGTTCAAGTTTCTTAATTTTGTTTTCAAGATTAAATACTTGTGTAATACTTTTCTTAGGGGATATGGAATTTGTTTTCGTGGGAGTTTTATCCATAGATATAAAGTATTTAATTTTTTTTATGACCGGAGAAGACATTACTGAATTTTCAGAAATACCAATTTTTTCATTAAACTTAGAGTATTTTCTCTTTGGGCTAGAGTTTTTTTTTAGGTCTATGTTTTCTAGAGATAATCGCTCCACTTCTTCGTTAGTAGATTCCAGTAATAATTTTTGTTCATTAATTTGACGTTGTAAGTTTTTTATGTGGTCATTTTCCGTGATGGAAGTGTTTGGTAAACTTAGCGTAGATGTGTCGACGACCGAGTGCTTTCTGCGAAGAGGTGTTGCATCTCTTTGCGTATTTTATCGCATCTATCACGGGGAGTGTTCTGAGGAATTGTTCGGATTAATCCCAGCCGCCAAATTTCATGAACACACTACGCGGCAAACCTCCCGATACCATCCACACCATCTGGATGCTTGGCGGTCCACCACTGTACGTTTCACAAGGAGTTTTCTTTCGGCGATTTTTCCGGACAGATACGACCTGGGGACCTTCAAGAAAAGAGCTTACTCATTTCTAAAGGGCCGGTAACGCACCTGCAATTCCCCTTGTGTTGCGGTTGTTCATGGGCTTCGGTAGTCACTTAACATCGGGTGAACCGTATGCTAGTATGCCCCCTCTTCTATAAAAAAAAATCTAGGGGAAATCAGTGTTTTATCACTGTGTTCCTTAATTTTGTAATTCAGATCTTCCTAATTACTTTTATTGTATAACTAATAATTAATTACTGTTTTATTAACTTCCCAGTGGGAAGTTATTGCAATAGGTCCGATTTTACAAATTGGAAATTTTAACATATCTCTACATTTCAAGGTCTTTAGAGTCGGCAGTATGGTTTTTAAGAGAATTTTCGTGTGTGCACATGTACGTATGTAAGTATGTATGTTCGCCTCGTGTATGTCGAAAACAAAAAGTGATATTGACATGGACCCATGTTTCATTTAACGCATAATTATGTAACTGTGTAATGTAAAATCGGTCAAGTCGTTTTTTGTGCAATTGCAATTTATGAAAAATTGTATAAAATATTAAATCATATGATATTTTTTTATTCTTTCCACTGGGAAGTTAGTAGAGCCGTGGTAGCTCAGATGGTTAACGCTCGCTGTAAATATAACAGAACGCGAGTAACCCGGGTTCGACCCCACCGGCACCAATGAAATTGTTAATTGCAATTTTAATACCATGTGCTCGGCGGTGAAGGAAAACATCGTGAGGAAACCTGCATGTCTGAGGAATAAGAAAAAAACAATTTATCGAATACATGTGAAGTTCGCCAACAAGCATTGGGGCAGCGCGGCGGACACTTCCTTGCCCTAAAACCCTCTCAGAAATGAGGGAAGGCCTGTGCCCAGCTGTGGGACGTTTATAGGCTATAACTTTACTTTACTTAATGATTTCTTATATTTACGCGAACTTTATTTTACTTTACTGGGAAGTTAGTCGTGTGAACCTTTCGGGTCGTACCTAGACCGCTTTTTATATTTAAAATAATAACAATAGTACCTGACGTAAGTAGGTGAATACGTTGTGTCGTGGTAAGTTCATTTATTTTACAGTCTTAAAAATATTGTAACGTTACAGCCTATTAAAGTGCACTGCTGACTGCCTCTCCCATAGATTGCTTTATAGGGGAGATATTATATTATCCTGTAATCTCTGACAGCGCGCGACATGTTATAATCCCGTTCGCTCGGGACCGTAATGGCGGCAAAATTTGAAAATTAGCAAATTTTTTGCTATATTGCAAATTTTGCTATATTTTCACTTTGAGACAATATTTATGGATAAAACTTACAGGAATTCTTGTTGAATGTATAAACTATCGAATAAAATTATTTTTGGTTGCTAGAAATTGTAATAAAATACGTAAATTACCCTGTATAGCTGTATAGTGGTATATACTTCAATTTTAGTGACAAAATTACTACTAATTTGAATTCTACACTTTTGTTTTTAGAGAAATTTATATGAAAATGTTTGGAAATATGTATATTTTTATGTTTTATGTGTTTCCATTCGTTCCTCATACCAAAATATTAAAATATAAAGAAATTAAAAAAAATTAAATAATCATATTTTATCTGTGTGACATTTAGAACAATATTTCTAAAATAGTTTTGTGTGAATTTGAAATAAATACAACGTCAAGTTATTTGAAATATGTAAGAAAACTATTTTTACTTACATTTTACACTAAAAATAAATGAGAATGTGAAAAATACCACATTTATGACCCAGCCGCCATAATGGGCCTTCCAGATTTTGAAGCACTTTTGGCAATTTACTTTTCACTTTTTATACCACAAATTACATATCTACGTGTTTACTATATTACAAGGAATATAAAAAAGTATAACACTTTCGTTTTTAGTCCAGACACAAATATAAAATTCTATAAAAAAGACGGAGCACCTTCATCAAAGTGACACGTGGAACGCCGGAAGTTCAGAGTGATTTCTTTTTTTTTTTCTAAGAAACATTGCCAGGTTATGGTTTAAAATAAAAGAGCATATCTTTGTCTTTGATACTAACATCTATTGCATAGTGTCTTTGGTTTTGTTTAAAACGAAAAAATAGTTTTTTCATAGGTAGACATGTTTACATAATTCTGATCTAATTCGATCACTACTTGGCGGGCGTAAGGTTGGTATTGCGCGATCGAAGGTGAGCTAGGCTTGGTTAACAGGTTATACATATATTTGCCATAGCTGCCACTTTTGGCAAGCGGGTTGGCAACTGCAGGGTTTTTATTTTTAGTCGTTATCAGCAAAACGCTGCTGCCTATCTCCTGATTTGTTAATTATTAAAATTTATTATAAAATTTATATAAGCTAAAATGATATCATCTTACCCGAGTATACACACTACTATGTCTAACCCTTCAGCACTCGATATGTATAGGGGTGGTTTGCTCACGTGGGTTGCTTCCATTCAATTCACAGTTTAAAGTAGTTAGCTCGCAAGAAGCTCGTTGTTTCATGCATAATATAACATCCAACATTCTTGCTTTCATTTAAAGAAAAGTTGAACGAGTACCTAGTAGTTTGTGTTGCTAGTATAAAAATTCGCCCGCACGAGCAAAATTTCTTAGATTAAGCAATGGAAACAAAATTCTATCAATCAAAGAGTACCTATATGTCTATCAATATCTGAAACATGTTTTAGTTCTGTCATTGTCAAATATGATTCGGCTACGGGGTGAACTATTCAAAATTTTAATGAATGTTCCTTAATTATTGGATATTCATCATACTTACTGTTACAGATATATTCTGTGAAGATAAACATGACATTACCACGCTGATGTATTCCAAATTCAACCTCCAACCTGCCATCGTCAATGGTGACCCAGCGACGGTCGGTCAAATTCCTTATTTTGTATCCATAAAGAGGCCACTACGACAATACAGCGAAAAGAATATCCTCTGGAAGAATTTGTGTGGAGGGAGTATTATTAAAGTTAACAAAGTTCTTACAGCGGCCCATTGTTTCGAGGACTACAATTACCACTATTTGAACAATTATAATATGTTGCGCGTTGTTGCAGGGAACATAAAGAATTTCATCATACATTCCGGTGAAAACATCACTGAACCAACTAACCAATGGCGTTATTTAAATAAAGTAGTGATACACAGAAATTTCAACTTTCCCAACAACGACATAGCGCTAGTTTTCGTGTACGATTGGCTTTACAACGATTACATCACTTACGTGATACCGGCTAGCATGGATATTGATTATCAAAGACGGTGTCTTGCAGTGGGTTTCGGATTGACAGACCATGGTCTTGCTGAGGCTGCGTCACACGTGTTGCTGGTTGCGTGGATAGACGTAATGACAAAATTGCAGTGCTCTATTCTGTGGGAAATGAACATGAACACGTTTATTTGTTCAGTTTCAGCATTGACGGATGTCGCGAGGGGTGACTCTGGAGGTCCGTTGGTATGTAAGGGCACTGTTGATCCAGCAGAAAAAAGCGGCAGAGATCTCCTTGTTGGTGTTATAAGTGGCAAGAGCTTCGACAAAACTACTTTATACACGCGCGTGTCGGCATATCGCGACTGGATTGCTCGGGACACGGGGTCTAAATTGACAAGTGACGCCTTAATCTGTTTAATTACATGGTTTTTATTGTTATATGTTTTGTTTTTGTTTTGTAATTTTAACATTATCTATCTTACAATAACCTACATAACGAATTTGGGTCACGGAGCTATCTTTGCAGGACAGAATTATAGTACAGCGGTGCACTATTCCCTCACTCTCATAGTCCGATGAGACAGTAATCCGAAACGACCGGTGAAAGAATAGGCGCAGGACTAACGTGGTTTTTTGAGGCCACATAATCAGCAGTTGCGCTTACGTCCACTAGACTAGTTAGAGACAAGTACTTTATACTTTTCGTACGAGTAGGAATTCTAAACTCTACCCACACTTATTTGTATTTTTTTTAACTTTTTAAACCCTCTATCATAACCTGAGCAATATCGGCCGTGCATATAACAATATACTATATAAGACATAGACATAGGTTTTATTAGCATCAATACACTCACAAAATATACATTTAAAAGTAAATGAGATCATAAAAACACACAAGGTACAAGATGGTAAACATAATTAAAAATAAGTCTCGGCAAGAGTGAGTGATGTGATGCCAAAAAGGATTCCGACTCAGCATATGCTACCACAGATGCTGCAGCAGCGCTGATTTTCACCGGAGCCTTGAATAGTATTATAATAACCTCATCGAAACCTTTGAAAACGGTCGATTAATTTTTCAATTAACATGGAGCTCCATGCAATGGAATTACATTTCCGATTATTGAAAGAAAACAGTTATTCTTTAGATAACTATCGGTCATTCTCAGACGGCTCAAAAAGGCGTGTCCGGGTCGAAATCCAGTACGAAATGGATTACTAACAACTTGATATTTTTTTCTATAATAGGTACGATCAAAATATTAGGAGGGGCATATGTTCTTTTTTGAATAAATTAAATATAAGTTAGTTAAAAAAATTAAAAACCTCGAAAATATTGACCTCGGTGCCGCGTCCGGCCCCATATTGCGGCGGCAATTATTTTTTATCTTTTTTTCTCCAATATTCGGCACTATTTGACATGTGTTCACAAACAACTAGATAGTTATTAATTCCATTTATAATATTACTAAATCACAATAGGCGTTAGTAGTCAAGTTACATCTGGTTGTCTTCACGTCCAACGTTTAGGTTTGATATCAGTGGCGCGCACCAATCCGTTCATATATCCCACACTCTAGTGACTTTGAGAATAGTTGTTCGAGTAATACAAACTGTCAGTCCCGCCGCATTGGTGGTAAGATCAACGCGTCTGTGCGCTACCGCGTCACTCTTTTATTGAGGTACGTAATCGTTTTCGGTGGCTTGGTATACCCCTAAAATTGATTTCGGTGAATCCATTTTATCCACAACTATTTGAATTAATATTTTTAAATTATAATAAAATTATGTCTTTTATGTATTAGATTTCAAATAAAAGAGGTTAATATAAAAAAATCAGTTTATTTTTGAAAACATTTAGGATTTTGTTAATTATTTTGATTTCAGTGGCATTGATTTCGGTGTTTTCGGTGGAAATAGGTGCACCGAAATCAATTTTGAAATCACCGAAATCAATCAATCGTTATTTATTTACATTTTATGATCGTAAATTTAACTTTCTTACCACCCCTTATCTTGTTTCAGTGTTGAGATTATGTCAGATTCAAAAGAAGATCGGTTGGCTAAAAAGAGATTGTCTGAACGACGTCGGAAAGCTCGCATTAAGAGTGATCCAGAGCTTTACGCAGTGCACAAAGAGAAAGATAGACAACGGTATTATAAAAGGAAGAATGAAGGAAAGATAAAGTCTGTAAGTGAATTAGATCCTCGTCAACAACGAATTTTTAGAGAGAGAAGTAGAATATCTTCCAACAAACACAATTTGAAAAGAAGGCGTAAAGAGATGAGGTGTCTTGAAGAGGATTTAATAATCGTATCAGAAGTAACCGACAAAACTGACGATCCTTTGGTGACTTCACAATCACAAACAATACGATCAGAATTGCTTCAAACTGAAGCAAGTTCCTATGTTGATTTGCTACCATCAAGTTCATCCGTCGTTTCATTTCCTTTACCTCAGCGTATTAAGGCTTATCGAGGCTCGTCAGCACCATTGAGTCCGTCTAGTGACGTAAGTAAAATTTCAAAGCCATGTACAAGATCATCAGTTCGTGTGATTGAAAAGGAGTTTCCTCCAACTCCAAAAGCTAACAAGAAACTGAATACCAAAGTTATCATACGTAGACTTAAATACCGCATGAACAAAATATATCAGTTACAGAAAGAGAAGATTGATCAATTGAAGACTGTCAACGAACGACAGCGAAAACAGATATATAGATTAAAATACCAAGGTGCTATATTAAGAGAATATGAACATATAAGTAAAAATAGTACTGAAGATATTAAACAAAGTGAATCAGACACTATAAAAACAATTAAAAATAATGTGGAAGAGGACATCAAAACTTTTCTTGAAGAAGATTAAAACAGTCGTATGTGTTCTGGGAAGAAAGAGTTCATTACCCAAAAAAAGAATAAACAACAAAGACGCTATTTAAATGATTCTTTAAAAGACTTATATACTAAGTTTAAGCAAACAAATCCCCAAAATAAAATTAGTTACTCCAGTTTTTGCAAAAAACTACCGTTTTGGATACTGAAACCTTATGTATATAAACGAGAAACCTGTCTTTGTATCGAACATGAAAATATGGACTTGATGGTGACTGCTTTAAAGAAAAACAACTTAATTCATTCTTGAATTTTAATTTATTTTTCTAAATCTACCAAAGATATTTTGTCATCACTGTGCTGACTCTTCGAATGTGTCACATCTTTAACTAGAAAATGCGATGACTGCAAAGATAAAAGTTTAATCTATAATGAATTCAATAACACTGAAGTATTGTTTTACTGGATTTGGCAAAAAAGTAAAAAAAACTTATTACAAGAATGGAGTTACAAAAACAACCACTCACACAACGAAAGATAAAGTGACTATTTTCCCCAGGGACACCATTTTAAAATTTGAAAAAAATGTTACCTTCATACATGACTCACTGTGAAAAGCGAAAAGCGACCTCACTGAGGAAGAGTGTATAATTCACTGCGACTTTAGTGAAAATTACAGCACAAAATACGGTAATGAAATTCAAGCGTTAATTTCGTGGGTAACCGACAACAAATAACCCTGCACACCGTGGTCATTTATTATCGTAAAAATGGACTTCTGAAAGTTCAGTCGATGTGTACATTATCAGAGTCTTTACGCCATGATGCACCAGCCATTTGGGAACACTTACTTCTGATTTTAAAATTCATAGAAGATGAAAATCTCAATATTCGTATACTACATTTCATTTCTGATAGTCCGTCGGCTATACGGCGTACCGAAACCGTAAAATGTTTTATATCATCAGTAAACTCCATTGGTACTTTCCCAGTTTGACTAGTATTACATGGAATTATACAGAAAGTGGCCATGGAAAAGGAGCCCCAGATGGTGTCGGTGCAACACTCAAAAGAACAGCTGATCGAATAGTTGCTCAAGGCAATGATATCACAAGCTTATCATCATTGATGACTCATCTGCAATCTGTTCAAGGTATTATAACGAAAACTATTGACGATTCCGGTATTTATGAAAAAGAATTGCTAATTCCATCCAATCTCAAGCAATTTGCAGGGACTATGAAAGTACATCAAGCAGTATGGAACGCCAATAAGCCCAACCAAATATCGATGAGAAAAATGAGTTGCGCCGAAGGTGAATGTAAAAATAATTCTGTGTCATGTGAACATGGGTATCAAGTAGGATTATACATCATAGGCGAGCAAGCTGATAGACTGTTGACTGATAGAACGAACAAGAACAAGAGTGACAAGATCAATCTGATTAAAAAGTCAAATCAAGCCAAAAGAGGGAGTGGAGTCAGTGCAACTGAATCTAATAAGCCTCAAATTTTAGCGAATATTCTAATTCAACCTGGTTGTAGCTATTCTGTTGATCTTGCTGATGAGTTCTATGAAACCAAACAGCGCCTGTCCCGTACATTACCTTCAGACATTGGATTACATGAAAGTGACAGCTTCTGGACACGTGTTTCGACAGATTGTGAAAATATTGCTCCGACATTAATGAATGAAGTAGTCTCCAAAATTGTAAATTGTAAAGAAAGTAGTGACGAGGAATATAACATTTTTTAATTAAGGATTGAAAACTGTAATACAAAGTTTTATAAGAAGTTTATTACATTGTTAATTTAATGCTGGGTGATTATTATACCTAAAGCTTATTTAATTGTCTTAAAATCAAAAGAAAAAGTAATATTTTTATTAAAAATACAAATACTATTAGTTATGTAAGTGCCTTCTACAATTGTTGATTAAAGGATTGATTTTTAAGTGATTTTGTAGTAATTTTTTTCAATAAGTAAATTGACTGTGATTAAGCTAGATCTCGACCAAGAGTGCTAATTTTTTTTAAGTTCCTATAATGTTAGTTTAAGACTACTATCTTTAATGACATTTAATATAATAATTTAAAGCTTTCTACCAAAGTTGATTTTTGTAAGTTTTCACAAAAATTAATAAAAATGGTTACACATAAGTCTTGATAACATAAATTTTTTTTGTTGTCGAATTAACCTGCAATTCTTTACAGATCATAAGTTCATAGTAGTTATCAAGTAGGCAGTAAATTTACCTTAAGAAAATTATCTTTGAAATATAAATTATTTTATATTTATTTGATTTCGGTGATTAAAATATTGATTTCGGTGGACACCATTTTTTTAAAATTAAATACCTTCTTAACCATTCGGTCTATACGATTCCCTCTTCTACTTATATATATTAAATTAACTCTAGAATAGATATTTCATGTTAGTAAGGCCTAAATTTAAAAACAAAAAATGTCACCGAAATCAACCAAATAATGAGTCGCCTGATAATGACCCCTATACTAAATTTAAAATTAACACATTTTGACAACTTAATACCCATTTGCTTATTTTTTTATTATTATCATACTATTTTCGTCCCGTGGGTTTCGTAAGAAGTGACAGTGGAAAACTGAAATAGGGACGGAAACTTTTTCCTCATAATAACTACTAACAACTCTTAATAAATATAACCGGGCTACCTTCAGCTTTTAGATATCAGTTATTAGTCTGCTCAGCGTAGAATGGACCTATATTATGTCCAAATATTAACTAAAACTAAATATTAACTTGGTTAATATTAACAGACTGCGGTTGCTGATCCTCCTGCCAAACGCCTGGCAAACTACGTCAAAACCTCCTTATGAGGCAAATCTATGAAGGAAGCCTATTTTAGCAGTGGACTTTATAGGCTATGGATGGATGAATGATCCTTCCACGGTCGATTTCACATTCGCGCTGCAGCCACAGCGTGGCTCCATCAAGTAAAAACTTTATGCTGTTGCTAGCATGCCCTTGTAATTTTTTTTCACAATTCTGCGACCGATCTCGTAAATTTGCTACAGCTTTAAAAATTTCATTTTTACGATTTGCAGAAACTTTACAGATACAATAGCAATGACCCATATGTGGGTCACGGGCCAGGAAAGGATTATTATATCTACGCAAAACTAAATTCAAATTCAAATTCATTTTATTCATTTGCGATATATGGGTTACAATAGGTCTTAATAATTTAACAAAATACAGCCATATTCTACCTTTCGGTATGCAAACTACTTAAATATTAGATTTTATTTATAATTAAAATTAAATGGAAAATGCCGATAATTACATTAACATAATATAACCCTATTTGTATATTTGCGCTACTAACATAATAATAATTCACAAAATAATGATAAAATACATGTAATAATTAAAGTTGTAATGTCCAAGTAATAATGTCAAAACGAGTAGGTATAAATTGTCTCAAAATTAATAACATAGATAACGTTTCGTTCAATAAATTTGATAGTTAAAATTTAAAAATTGTCATATAGATAATCGTCAATATTATAATAAGCTTTTATGGTTAAAAATGTGTTTAGTTGTTTCTTAAAAATGTGAAAGCTCTTAGAATCTCTTATATATTTAGGTAAATGGTTATACAGTCGAGGACCCATACAGAATACGCTTTTTTGAAACAAAACAGTCTTACTATTGGGATGGCTCAATTTATCTTTATGACGCTGGACATTTAGTTTTTTGTAAAAACTTAAGTTTTGACGTACAAATAAGACTACCTCATATATATATAGACATGGCATTGTTAATAATTTTAAATTAATGAAGTATGGCTTACAACTCTCACTTTGGTTAATTTTACAAATGGCTCGTAAGCATCTCTTTTGAGCTTTAAATACTGTTTCTTTGTCCGTACAATTACCCCAGAACATAATACCATATCTAAGTGTAGACATAACATAAGCATGATATGATGCCATTACGGCGGATGTGTCTACAACTTTTCCAAGCATATATAACGCATACGAAAAACGATTTAATTTCATACACACACTGCTCACATGAGACTGCCAGTTCAAATTGCAATCTACATTTATACCCAAAAATTTTATATTATCTATGGTATTGATTTTTTGTCCTAGATAATTGATATTTAAATTATTTATTTTATTACGTTTTTGATAGAATGTCATAAGTTTTGTTTTTTCTAAATTTATATTTAAATTATTTATGTTTAGCCAATTCATGATTTTCTCTAAAGCAAAGTGTATGTTACTTTCTAAATCTATTTTGTTTCTGCTAGTGAAAATAACTGTGCTATCGTCAGCAAATAATACTATTTTGTGATTAATGACGTTGGGAAGGTCGTTGATATAAATAAGAAACAACAATGGTCCTAAAACACTTCCTTGCGGTACTCCAGTTTGTACGACTCTGTATTCAGAAACATAGGTCATTTCTTTTCTTGATTTTAGACAAATTTTTGTAATGTGTGTACTTTGTTTTCTGTTAACTAAATATGATGTTAGTAGATCTAGTGCATTACCTCGAATGCCGTAGGCTTCAAGCTTTTTGAGTAATATTTTATGATCAACATAATCAAATGCTTTAGTAAGATCCATGTAAAGTGCACATACAGGTATTTTATTGTTTAGGCTAGACATAACGGTATTAAAAAAATTGTATAGAGCCATATTTATAGTCTTATTTTTTCTAAATCCTATTTGTTCTTCTCTAAGAATATTGTACGTTTCAAGGTAGTTATATAAAGAGTTATAAATTATTTTCTCAAATACTTTTGAGAGCACAGGTATAAGCGCAATGGGCCTATAGTTAGACATATTCTCCCGATCATTTTTTTTGAACAGTGGTTTGACAATTGTAGACTTTAGTCTTTCAGGAAATATACCATTACAAATACATAAATTGAAAATATAACTAAGTACCGGAGCAATTGCACCGGATACGTATTTTAGAACTCTTGTACAAATTTCATCACAACCGGTACTGTTTGTGTTTTTAAGAGATTTTATAGCTT